TCTCAGCCGGGTCCCAGGCGGCGATGCCCCCGCCGGCCCCACGCGCCCCGGGGACGCGCGGTAGTGGTCCCCGGGGGGGAGGAGGAGGCGTGTCTAGCCAGGCTGGGGGGGTAGGGAGACGGTTCTGGCGGACGTCCGGGGGGTCGGTGTCGAGCATCGCCAAGGGCGAAACGTACGCGATGCAGAAACGGATGGCGGCGAAGCGTGCCAGGGACAAGGCCACCAGGGCGAAGAGGGTGAGACAAAGGAGCGGATGGGGAGAAGGGGAGAGGGAGAAAGAAAGAGGTTGGATATATTTTTTGAGGAAAAGACAAGAGATGGCAGAGGAGAGAGACCATTCTTGGAAAAATATTAAGGGTTGTTTCGAAGTCTCTCATGAAAACCCGGAGTGCAAAGTAGATCTATTGGCGAGCACCAACACCAGAATCAATCAGGTCTTTCCCAACCCTTCAACACGAAGGCAGGAAAAGAAAAAAACTCACAGCTATTGATAGATAGGAGCCCAGGTAAAATCACTTTATTCACATAAAATGCTGTGCAACCTACCCGTGTGTGTATAGTACTGACCCTCGCGCAACATGCCATCGCCAGCAGTGGCACGGGTACTTCTCCCCATACGACGACGAAAAGGATAATCAGCTACAAGGACGCCGCCAGCGCTGGCGTCCACCTCATTTCTCCCTCTGCCTCCGCCGCACGCAGTGCGGTCGGCCGTGGTTCGCCGAGCTCCTCCGTCGTAAGGGCCAAACCCAAGCAGCTTGACGGCGTGTTACGGGTAGATTTGTTTTTTTCATCTTGCAGCCTCAGGGAGAGGAATCCTTCTGTGTGACCACGGGTTGGAGCAAAACAGCACAAATGCTGTGAGCACTGAAGACAAAAACACACAATAAGAAAAGTCTTCTGTGTGACCACAAATTGGAGCTCCCGGCAGAAATGCTGTCAGCGCTAATTTACGGTGATGGAAGAAAATAACAGTCTTCCAATGTTTTACCTGCTCGTGGACCACCTCCCACAGGGTCGCTAAGAGGAGCGTCGCCAATCTTTCATGCGGCTTGCCGAACACGTAGCCGCAACACCTCGCTCTTACTGCCTTTGCCTGTAGCCTGGTCGGCGATAGCACGACAACGCGCTCCGTCCTAGCTAGCGTTGAAGGATGCCGGGGTCCGTGGTTCGAAGACGACGGCCGTGCAGGATGCCGACTACAATAACCCCTCCTGCCCATCCCTCCACTCGTTGTTTTTCGTTTTCAGGCCGTGATATACCGAAAGTATCGGGACGGTGAGCTGCCCGACATCATGATCAAGCTGGGAGACGTGCTTCGGCCTCTGCAACACCTATCAATGCTGGATGGAGGGATCGCCCGGGAAGTTTTCGTGCAGATCTTCAAGGTGACAAAACAGAAAACAGTGGCAAATCACGACGTTTTTGAATCGGATATTTGAATCGGATTACTATTATTGCTACCAGTAATATTTATCTGTAAAACTCTACGTTCTAGTGATGAAACAACATATTTTTTCTTGTAGGTTTCCGCAAGTGCCTATGCATTTGCATACGATTAGGGGATCATGGCTCTTTTCTGCAGAAGTTTCTGTTTGTGGTGTAGCACTGTCTCCGTCAGGTTAGGCCTACTTTCCGAAGTGGTGGCCAGAGTGCGAGGATCGTTGTACAGTCGCAGGCCCTCTGTAAGGTGGTAATATAAGGCGGGTCCCCGCGATAGGGCGGGTGAAAGCGCTTGGCACAGATGGAATATTCGGTTTATATATTGAATAGTCCGGGTACCCGCTATAGGGCGGGTGAAATCGGTCTGGCGCATACCCGCCTTATAGAGGGCCTACGACTGCACACAACAGAATCACCGGAGCACGGCACCAACGTCACGCAAATCAACGACGGTACCGACCACAGCGACACCATGAATTTATGATGATGACGGTCCAACCATCATCAGGGGGGTCTGCAAGCATGAAAGGGCACCCATCGATGGGTGCTCTGCGATTTTGATGGAATAGGGCGCTATCTCCCATTTTTTCTTGAAAGTTCCCTCCGCCTTCACGTCGTCGACGCCTCTCCTCGCAGGAAGTGTACGCGGGATTCGGCGGCAGCGCCCGCGACCCTCCGGTCTCCCAGCCTGCCGGCAAGGCTCGGACGCAACCGGAGCTGGACGGCGAGATCCAGAGGGAGGCATCTAGCGGGGAGGGGAGACGTGCGGTGTCGGTGTTGCTGCAGAGAATGCTGCCGGCTGCTAGGTGCGCTGTTGCTGGTGGTGGTTGTGGTATCATCGTTGGTGTTGGCGGCCCTCCCTGCTGTTGTTCTTGCTCTTCTTTGTTTCTTCTGACTTTCCTCCTGTGTTCTGAAGGTATTTTTTCTTTCTGGTTTTTCACGCGCATCTTCGCTCCTGCCACTCCCCTTCGGCTATTTGCGGCAGCAAACCGTTCTGACCTTACCGAAAAATAAACGAAGTACGCTCTGGCAAAGCTCACACAAAAGGTAGGCACCCGCACAGGAGCGCCCTGTCCCCAGGTCCCTGACAAAATCCCCTTTTTTTGACTCTTCTCCAGGCACGACACGGATGTCGTGGCCTGCCTCCACGCCGCCTGCCGGGCGACCGCGACTGCCGTGGTCAACCCGCCGTCCACGGACAGGGGCGACGGCGGCGGCGGCGGTAGTGGCCGATCGTCGTCGTCTTTCCTGCAGCAACGGGAACAGAGAGGCCAGCACCACAAGGGGCGGATTATTCCATCATCATCGTCGTCTTCGACGGATGCGACCGGGAGGCGTGCCCGGACAGCAACCGCACAGGTAAGGAGCGCACACTTGACTGCATAAAGATTGGAATACATTTATTCTTCTGCTTCGTAGTAGAAATAGTATATGTTTAGGTTCGTTGGGGTTCACTGGGCTGTTCGAGTCAAGAGCGCGTGAGCTGTACGAGCTGTTGGCCTTGGGAAACGCTATCACAGCTGGGAGCTGGCAGCCAACTGTGGGATGTGGTCCTGCTGTTTGTTTCCACCTTGTGCGTAACCCCTTGATAGTTCTGTGTTCTTTTGAGCCCAACCCGGAGGGACCACTTACACGTATATCGTCGATTCGAGTGGAGTTTTCTCGAGCGGCCTTTCTTTGACGGTTGTGAAGACGGTGGTATTTTCGATCCATCGAAGCAAGCCTGTCAAGCGGGCACCGCGATTCAGTTTGGCGCTGCTCCCGTACCACACCCTTCTGTGGTTCACGCCTTGGTGAATCTGGATTCTGTGTGGTACAGTAGTAGGGTTTCTCGTTGGAGGTCTGCATCTTCCCGTCCCCTCCACTGACTTGGACCCTTGATACACGCGCCCCCTATGTCGATCCTGCGTGCGGCCGAACCTCATGCGACCACGTACGTAAGCATTCGTACTCGGAATTTCTGAAAGCGTAGATTTATTTCGCTTTTCCACCGCCTTTTTTTTTGTATCATCCCCAATTCCTCAGGAGTCAAGCGAGGACGCCGCGGTAGAGGGGGGAGACGCAATCTCGCTGTCCCCTGATCTCGTTGCCAGCACGGCGCTCTCCAGCCTTAACGTCCACTCGGGCATTTTGTTGCTTGAGGAGTCCATCATGCGAATCGGCAATGAACGCGCCGCCGCCGCCGCCGCCGCCGCCGCCACCGATGCTGTCGCAACCGCGAGCGGTGGGGCCACAGCTAGTAGCGGTGGCGGCGGTGGTGGAGGCAGGCGTCGACGCCGCAGCAGCGGCGGAGGTGATGAGAAGAAGGTCCACGTGGTCGTGGATGTGGAGAAAGGACAGCAGGCAAGCGCTTCAGTTTTTTTGTAAATATATGGTATCTTTTTCATACCCTGGTCATGGTCTGTTGTTGCTACAATGGGCCACGAGAAAACAATAGTGATCCCTTTGTCAGGAACAATGGACTTTCTATGCATGTCTACTTTTGATTTTCCTGCAGTTTTGTACCACATTTCCTGGTTGGCGCCGCTGTTTTGATGGGCGTGGTTGTGTTATTTCCCTTTGCTACGTTTGTGTCGTGGCAGCGACGTGCAGCAACAGGTTCGAGCTCGAAAGTCAGCGGCCACTTGTTTTTTTTCTCTGCTCTTTTGGAGGTCGGAATGGCGGATGGTTCGGAGCACAGACCGTAGTCAGGTTGCTGGTGTTTGTTTTTTGTGGCAACATACAAGTACCGCCGTTACTTGAGTTTTGTCATTGATACGTTCAGCGGTTGTCCCTTGCCCAAGCTGCACTCGTCCCGCTCGTAAAAACCATGTTTGTACATACATACCCGAGCGAACCAAGCCGTCCTGCGCTTGTTTTGCGATGTTGTTGCGTCGTTCCTTTTTCATCTGAACGTTGTGTTTTTGTCACTTTTCGGTATGTATGTCTTTGGCCGCACCAGCCAGGGTCACACAAGGGGAAGGAAAGCACCTTCAGCACCTTTTATTTCCTTTCCGTCTTCTTTGTTCTCCACGTTCTTTCTGCGGTGTGGGTGACTGTGTGGGTGTGTTGATTCCTTCACAGGACGCATGGCTGCAGCTATCGAAATTATACGCCGCTCTCGGGGAGAGGGATGCCCTCGTCGGGGTCGCCGCGCGAGCGAGCAAGTCGGAGGGAACCCGGTGAGTTATAACCCCCCCCTCACCGTCATGCTCCGTCCTCTCGAGGACGCGTGGTCAGTGGCCTTACAACTAGGGCATTCCAACCATGAGTACGCCTCCCCCCGTTATGATATTTTTTCTAAGTTGCACCTTCTAGGCTGGCTCTGTGTCGTAGATTTCTATTGACTTGCGAACCCTTCGGGTCCATTTTGTTTTAATATACGGACAGAAGGAAGGTACTGGGTAGGTAGATGGGAACGGTTTTTAAAGACAACGGCAACTACAACCTTCGATCTTTTTCCTCTACAGGGAACAACAAATGGGAGTGTTTCTTCGTGATTCCTGTTGTTTCCCCCCCGATACAGTCTCTGACGAGACTTCAACCACCCCCACACCTAACACCCCGCGTCCTTGCATCCACCGTCCCCGGTTCCCCTTACCCACCCATACCCACAATCGTCCACGCCGCTGATTCGCAACAGAAACCAAACAACCAAACGCAGTCTTGAGCATATCACGTAACCGAGTCTTGAGAAAATCTATGCCGCCGTCTTCGGCAACGAACTCATCGAAACAGACAAGCTTTGGAGGCCGAGCTGTCAGGCGAGTATGACGTTGCCCTGAGGATGTACAAGAAGCTGCTCGATCGGTACGACACCCGCTTCGAGAAAGAGACGGACACTCAGGACAGCAGTGCCGCTCGGGGCATGGATGAAGAAGGTACATTCCCTTAGTGATCATTGGCATTTCGTTGTTGTTGCTATCGTTGTATGCTTATGACGTTTATCGCCCACCAAAGGGTGTGAGTATTTCGGAATTTTTCGTTCAGCTTGTCTTGGAATGTTGTTGCACAAGCTTAGCGTTGTTCACGTCGACATGCTGACTTGATATTTTCGAGGACAATAAGCATTTGGGGCAAGCAGCACCACCCTATCATGCTTAGGGAATGCGGGAGAGGATGTTTGAAGGTTTCGGTTCACGCGAACCCCATAAACATACGGTTTTCGCATCGGAGGGTGAAGGTAGAGGACGAAGCTTCGGGTGAAGGGCAACCTATGCCTTGCATCGTACCCCCGCCATCTGCGGGATTGGGCAGCCAGGATAAGCGGTTGAGGTAGTGGGATTGCAATGTCCGTTTGTATGCGAGAGAAGGGCATCGGTGTCTTGAAATATCTTGTTGCCTAGCCGACGAGAATAATATTTGTGGAACAGCACTGCGCGTTCATCATCTGGAATGGGTGCTTTGTTGTGCATCCCTTCTTCTGCCTTTTCTTGCGGCCTCGCAGGCGTGGAAGGAGCCAGCGAGGCGGAGCTGAGGGCGTGGGACATGCACCAGCTCGAGTGTATGCGACAACTCGGCCAGTGGAAGGTCAGGAACAAGTCAATCGAATCGTGTGCCCGTCAGCACGATTGTTGGAAACGCCTGCCGTTGTTCTTGTTTGCAACTACGGCGTCGTTAGAGCAACACCGAACAACACGCTGACGAACGCAACAACGACAACAACTCAACGAGCAACAGTACTTTTCTGTTTGGTCGATCCTGTCAAGGGTCTGCCCGTCCTTTGGGGGATTTGCAGGAGTCCTACATAGTTTTCTACCCGTTCGCAGCGTGTGCACCACAAAATTGAGCCCCCCCCCGCCCGGTCGGAGTATACATGTACAAACTCCCACGGAATTCCGTGCCTTGGTCAATGACCTCTTCCACCACCGCGCCGGAAGGGGCATGTTCAGGAACACCTTGAAACTTTGATCTCTGCTGTAGATGTGTCCCTTCGCTAAACAGCAAGCCATCCCCCTTTCTGCGAACGCGTCTTTATAGACTCTCCGAGGAGAAGTAGTTGCGATGGTCTCCGAGGGCGTGGAAGGAGAAGATGACATCGGCGGTGAGGAGTACGGCGACGACGCGAGGGGATCCGCAGAGTGCCAGCGCCGTCTGTGGGGCGCGGATCCCTCCCAGAGGGACGACGTGCTACCTTTCTTCGTGTGGTCTATCGTGCACGACCATCGCCGCAGCGAGGTCGCCCTCAACGCCTTCCTCGATGTGAGGAATGATCGACATGATCACCTTTATTAAACGGAAATGAAGCAGGATTTGTAACGATTGCAACCAACCCGTTGTCTTAACTACCAATCCGTTTTTTTGGATTCATTTTTTCCCTTTCGTAGTTTTCTTCAGGCATGATGTCTCAGTCATACATTTCGAACATGTTATGAAATTGAGGTCGTTTTGATTTGTCTCAGATATCGTTGGTGGTCCTCGTTTATTGACGCTTCCTTCGTCTCGTACACGCGGTTCTTCCCTATGTCTGTTGTTATATGCTGATCGTGGTGCCAATTTGCGAGAGTGTTTGCGCGTCTCCTGCCGGTGACGATGCGGCCACACCGTTGCCCCGCAATATTGTCCACCCGCAAAAGCAACACTGCCCCGCAACATTTTCCATCAATATTTCTCGCGGTCGAGTCCCGTCTGTCTGTCCAGCAGCAGTTGTTCCTCTCTACTGGGCTTACAATCAGTGATGAATACCCGTTGCCACGGCCGCCACCAACCCAGCTTGATCTATTGATGAATGCCCGTTGCTATGACCGTCACCGTCACCACCCCCAGGCCATCGTCGACCCCGAAGCCCCGTCGTTACGGCTTACGGACTCTTCTTGGGGAGGCAGAGAAGGCGGGGCTGCCGGAGAGTCATCCCCTCCAGCCCTACGCTCAGGAGCGGAAGGTGGCGGTGGTGGAAGTACTTCTAGCGGAAGCTTATCGTCATCGTCGGCGTCCGCGTCCACTTGCACCCGGATGGCGTGGCTCGAGACCAACATGCCGGCGGAGCTGGCGAAAGCGTTTCTGCTGGGGAATCAGCTCGGCCGCGCCCATCAATGTGTCGCCCGCTGCTACGACAGGTTTTTGTGTTTTGGTGGACCGTGCTTGTGTGTGTTGATGAGGGAAAAGGGGTGTGTACTGGACGGTTGGTAGTCGTGGTGGGGGCTAGGCGGTGCTCAAGAGGTGCGCCGAGCAGCGTTTGACGAGGAGGTAAAGAGTGTGGATAGAGGCAAATCGAACCCCCTGAGACCACTCTCTTGTGACATGGAATGGGAACACGTGTCGTGATCGGTGGATGGGCCGTTCGAAACACCCCTCTGCAAGCGCACGGCCTACCAATAGTGGATACGCACAGTAAATGGTTTGTCGGTTGGCTTCAGCGGTCGTGGGAATATCGAACTGCGCCTTCAAGTGCAATTTGTCGGTGTGGTGCTGGTGAAACGAGGGTTGATGGCACTCAGAGAGAGGGCTTGTTGGGATGTTTTATCTATGCACATTCAGGTTTCAGGAGAAATGGGCGGGGCTTCACCCCTGCGCGGACTCTGCAAGGAGGGATCAGCTTCGAGGACTGCAGCTGGTAGTCGAGGTGCGCCGCGGTTGTCAATGCCGTCGTGGTCGCGGTGGCAGTGGCAAAATTAGGGTTAGTTGTCGATGCCGGTTGTAGTTGTCGACTTCTGTTGAAGCTGTGGATACATTATTGATGCCCCCCTCCTGCCTGTCCTCCCTACATAGGTGGAAGACTTCCTGTCTTTCTATGACAAGGAGGAGACCACAACTTCAACTTCAACTTCAAGTTTTCCTTCAAACTCGAAGGGTGTCGTGGCCGTGGGCCTGGGCCTGGGGGGGCGGTTGAACAGACTTCTCTCCAAGTGGTCGCGGCAGACCCCTTCTCAGGCGCTCGATCCGGTGACGTCTTGGACTGCTGTGCTTGCCCACAGGCAGGACTGCTTCAAGGCTATAGAGGTGAGGAATTTCTGGGGCAAGGCGACACTGGGTACTGTTGCTCCTTCGATTGTTTGACTCTGTTCTGTAGTTGTGGTCACCGTTAGAACAGCGATACTTACTAGTAAATCGGAGATGAAATGTGGCACGTGGGATGGTGTGTTAACCCCCCATCAAGTTCGATTTGTTTTTACAAAGTATACATGAACTCACACAAAGACTACCCCTTCGAGATATAGCCGCAGTCGAAAGGGATGTACTGAAGTCTTTGGATTGAGTGGAGGAAAACCGGCTGGAAACCGGGCTTATCTTGAGTTTGTTTCTTTTGTTTCGGGGGGCGTTCTACGGGGTCTACTAGCAGTTGAGAGCTCGATTTATCATTGAACCCTAACCGAATCCTAAGCGCAACGTGAAGGAGGGGAGGGATCAGGGAGAGAGAATCACGTTGAATGTGACCCTGGCTTTGCCACAGCGGAGAGAGAGAGAGAGAGAGAGAGAGAGAGAGAGAGAGAGAGAGAGAGAGAGAGAG